ACCCCATACCCCTGCCCTGCCGTATACGCCTGCACCCCCTCCCCTCCGACCCCCTTCCCCACGACGCTGTACCTCGACCTGCTTGACAACTTATTAGCGGAGGCTCCGCGTACCTACGTTGTTAATGTGATAACAAGTTTCATATCTTAAGTTATTAACGATGTGGCGGATCAGAGTTTGTGTAAACATCATCGTTTAGCGTGATGGATTAGCAGGGTAAAATATGTATACCTATAAATTGCTCGGCCCCCATTTTTATCGCGTCGCTAAATGACGTTAAACATTTATTTATATACCAACAAGTTCGTCGATAAGAGGCACTTGAAAATGTTAAAACCCAGATTTAGAAATGCCTACTGCCAATCGTAATGTAAACAGACATAACCTCAAAAGTATAAAGAAGGCTAAGAATTCGGATTCTTAGGTAAATTTTAAAGAAGAAGAAGAAGAATAAAGTATTCCTTTGTATTCTTGGTTTATAACACAGCCACACAAAAAAAATTTGTCCGTAGTATTTTTGCCTCCTGATAACGAATCCGGTGTCAGAATTGAGCTATTACATCACAGGAATTTCCTAACCTCAAAAAACAGGTCAAAATTAGCAAATATTCAGGAAAAATACAAACAATTTTTTTTCTATATTCAAATGTTCATTTATATGGTTACGACCCCGCCAAACGTAAATCTGCGATCAGAATTAATGGTTCTTTTTCTAACCTCAAAAAAAAAAAACGTTTCAATTAAGGTCAGATATCACGAATATTCATAAAATATAAGATTCGCGCCTAATTTGGTCCACGGGGGTTTTCGGAGTCGCTAATCACGGATTCGAGGTCAATTTTGTAAAATTCAAGATGGCGGATCCAAGATGGTGGACCAAATTTTCAAAAAACAACACATTCGCGCCAAAATGGTTTTCTGCCTAATCTCAGGTAATAAAATACATAAGTAATTAAATTTTTTTATATGAATTTTGTAAATCTGATCTTGGATTCGTGATCAGTGACCACGGAAACGTCCGTATACCAAATTTGACGCGAATGTGTTGGTTTTTGAAAATTTGGTCAGCCATCTTGGATCTGCCATTTTGAATTTTGCAAAATTGACCTCGAATCCGTGATCAAGGACCCCGAAAACCCTCGTAGACCAAATTTGGCGCGAATCTGTTATTTTTTAATTGAAAGGTTTTTTTTTGAGGTTAGAAAGAGAACCATTAATTCTGACCGCGGATTCACGTTCGGTGGGGTCTTAACCATATAAATGAATACTTGAAAATATAAAAAAAATCCTAGCACTTTTTCCTGAATTTTTGCTATTTTTGACTTGTTTTTTGAGGTTAGAAAGGGCCTAACTTTCCCTGAAACTGTGGGCAATGTCAACAATTAAACGGACCTTCTTGTCATGTATGACAGTAACATAAATGTACATTTTTTGGGTAGATATTTTAGTAAGTCTATAGACTTTTACTAAAACGTTTACTCAAAAAATGTAGATACATCTATGTTATTGTGTTAAAAATGAAAATCCTTGCATAAGTTTTATGTTGTTACAATAGGAAGTTAGGTTAGGTCGGGTTAACTTCTTTCATATAGTTAGGTTAGGTTTTTAAAAACATTTTCCATTTTTCATAAAAAAAACCGCAAAAATTGCTAAATTTCTACCATTTATTTGTATGCAAACTCTACGTTGAACTTTCCTATTCCGAAATAAAAGCGAATTGCTCCTAATGCGAGAGTAAAAGTGTCTGCTGTTTCGCGGTGACGACTCCGTCACAACTAATTGAATCCCATCCACCTGTCCCGAATACTAAAGAGATCACGTTGAGTAATTGTTACGTGTGGGTGAAACGGTCATACCACGAGGTCCCTATTAGTTTCACACCAGGTTTAAATCTGGCTTTAACAGGGTCAAGGTCTATTACTCGGCACCCCCTAACCCCTACGGGTCCTAGAGGAGCACTTACGGCTCTGTTTTTAATTCGATAATGTCGTAATAACCTCCGGGGTTTGGCGTATTTATACGCGGGTTTGAATGCAGGATTGTTTCGTATGAATAAACGTTTAAATTTATTAGAGAAAAAAAATACAGTTATAGGCGTGAAAATTTAAAACAAAAGCTGTCGTGCAGTAAGTTATGTTTGACAGTTGTCAAAAGTTGATTGTAAAGGCACTTACACAGAATAAAATGTTACGTGTTACATATATTGCGGTTTTTTAGGGCACGCTCGTTCTACTTGTGTGATTTTGAATTTGGAATGTGCCTTATTCCATTATTTCAATGTTTTGTGATAGTGTTTATTATTTCTTCCCGATTTAAACCAAATTAGTTTTACCACATTCACCAGAGATGGCGCGACATATGTTTTGTGAATAAAATCTAGAATTTAGGGTTGAGCTAGTTTAAAATCTTGTACTTTGTACTACCACAGTGGGAAAGCACTGAAACGGGGCAACATAACTAAAATAGAAAGAGAATTTTGAAATAAAATTGTAGGTATCTGTTTTAAATATTAATAAAATAGATGCTAATATAATTATATGTCTACACTCAGAATGGGCGATAAAATTATGCAAGGCAACACACTTTTCCCGTGGAAAAACACGGGCCGCAATCGATATTAAAACAATATCGACTGTCCAACTTCCACGAGCGCTCGCAGACAGCAACCTCCGTCTCCGCCCCTGTTTCACTCTTTCCTCCGGTCCTTATCATCAGTTTCTGGTTGGTTGACTCCGCTACGGCAGATCTGTGTGTCTTATCTCAGCGGCACGGCCCACCTAAACTGAAAGGATCTACCGCCTCTTCTACCTAACCCCTCCGGGCTTGATCATTTCGCTACAACATTCTATCTTTAACCTGATTGCATGTTGCTGCACAACAGAAGCGATTTATTATCGCAGGGAAGCCTGTTCGGCACGTTGTGGACCGCAACGCGAGATTTTATCAGAATTAGTAGGCTGGCGTTTTGTTGTTGGCGATAGTCTGTTGTTACAGGGATTTCTGTGAATTAAATCCACAAAAATAATTTTCAAACAAGTTTTTATGTAGCACTGAAGAGATCGCTTGTTTTGAACTGGAAGCATTAAAATCCCACTTCTGATTTCCATTCAAAATTATTTTATTTACAAAAGTGTAGACAGTGATGAAAATTGTGTTCTATTGATATTTTCAATATTCTGTGCTATGTTTTGGTGTTTTTTTTAATTAACTTTTATGTTTTGTTATTTGTTTCTATTTTCAATGTTGCAAATTACATTTTCACTTTGTCTTTGAGCAGGCTACTATTAATTATTATCCGCAATAACTTAAATTTACAACTACGAAATAATGCACCTATAAATTATAAATAAATTCACATCAAAATTTACCCAGATTTTTTGATAATTCCTAAACCCCTCTTTTTTATTTCTTAAACGAAAATGAATGAAAAACACCTCTTTATAAAGTGAAATTTTATTTTAAAGAGAACTATTATGTTTCTATAACTGTAGATGGCGCACATATATGTTTATAAACTTTAATTGGGAGTCTATTTTGAGCGTGAATTTCCGAAATTTTTCCGTGATTTTTGACAAACTGTATTCTAGTTTTTAGATCTTTCGGTCGAAATTTTTTAGAAGTTACGGTTATCATGAAATTCTAATAGCGCGACAAAAAATTTTTGCAAATTTTCTTTTTTTTTTTTGAGTCCACGAACTTGGAAAATTTGCAGTATAAATGTGAGAAAACCTGACAAAAATGTTTTTTTCCATTATAATCATGGTTATGAAGTGTTTAAGCTCAAAAAACGTGACCTTTTAATTTTTTTCAAAAGTTTGACTGTTTGAAATAAAGAAACGGTTCGCTAGATCGAGATGAAACTTCACAGGGTTCTTCTGGGTATATTGAACTGTAAAAGTCATGCTTAACATTAGTTATTTCGTGAATAGTTCTAATTTAGCCGTCAATTTTCTAAAAAAAAAACAAATTACCCTTTTTCTGTTTTTTAAAATTCGTGTAAAAGGTGAAAAATATTTTTTTCCGGAAAGTTGCTGTTTATTCCAGTTTTCGAAACTGCCCTTCAATTCTCTGTACGACCATTTGTCACCGAGATATCGATGATTGAAGACAAAAGGATCATTTTCCATTAAAAGTCCGATATTTCGATGAAAAATGGTTGTATCCAAAATTAAAAAAAAAAAAAGAAATTGAAGCTGAATAAACAAGCTATCTGGTTGGTCCATGCAATGGCTTAGCTGAAAAAAAAATGTTCCAAGTCCGTGGACTTTTTTGTCGCGCTATTTCTTAGAATTGCATGATAATCGTAGTTCCTAAAAAATTTCGACCAAAAAATCTAAAAACTAGAATCTTAGAGCTTCAAAATGCTGATTTTTAATTCCCGATACGACTATTTTTCACCTAAATACAGTCTGCCAAAAATCACGGAAAAATTTTCGAAATTCTTTTGACCCTATAATCGTTTTCATTAGTTTAGAAGGCCTGAATTACATTGCAAAAATTTGCCTGATTGAATTATTCAAGCGATTGTTTAATGTCAAAATGTCTAATTCTCTCTGGAATCGAAATAGTTAATTGAAAATTTTAAAAAAATAACAAACACCAGTGATGACAGATATATAGACTTAATAAATGATAATTTACCATGTAAATTCATAAAATGGACGAAATTGCGAATTTTAACGAAATAAATCGTCTTCTAAATAAATTCCTTAATTTGTAAAAAATTCCTAAATATATATTCCCTATTTCTCTAGTTTTACAAATTTTTATTTCATAAAACTAGGGAAAAATCTCCAAATCTGGCATCGTTGCCAGACAAGTAAACTTTCAAGTAGAAGAAGAATTTGGACCTCTAGGCAAATTTTGAAGAACAGACATTTAAAAGGATTAATAATTCTAATTTTCTTCTTGTTTTCCAATAACAGCTAATTAAATTAAATTGTTTAGCCCCATTCGACTTGAAACTCACAATATATTTTTCTCAAATATTCCCGTTCTAGTTGTAGACCTTGACGGCATCCACTCCGACGAGACCAATTCCGGGGACAACTCAAACGCGGGGTCCAGCATAGGCCCCGACGACGACCAAGCGCGATTGAGGCTCAAAAGAAAACTGCAAAGAAATCGGACTTCATTCACGAACGATCAAATCGACAGTCTCGAAAAAGGTAAACGAATTCCGATTTAAAATCTTCGCCATCAGAAAGAAACATTCTTTTTCAGAATTCGAACGCACACATTATCCCGACGTCTTCGCCCGAGAAAGGCTAGCCGCGAAAATAGGACTTCCCGAGGCGCGCATCCAAGTGTGGTTCTCCAACAGAAGAGCAAAGTGGCGGCGCGAGGAAAAACTGAGGAATCAAAGAAGAGGCGCGCCCGGACCTGCAGAACACCCCGGCCCGACGGCTTCGCCCCCGAGACTGCAGGGCTTCAACAACACTTCCATGTATTCACCTATCGCACCGACGATGTCCATCGCTGACACCTACAGGTAAAATTTAAAAAAATCGAATTAATACGTAATAATAAACTTGATTTCAGTACAATGTCGGGTATGCCGAGTTTTACCCACGGCGGTTTGGCTTCGAGTATGGGACCGTCTCCTGGCGCGTGTCTTCAGCAAAGGGAAAGTCCAACCATGGGCGGTGCAATGAGTGGATACTGCATGGGTAGACCACCTAGTTACGACCTTGGCATCGGATACGGTTCCAGACCGTCGCCTTGTAGCCCTTCCCAGCCGTATCAGATGAACGGACACCAATATAGCACCAATGGAACATCTTCAACAGGTGACTATCATTTGTTTCTAGTGATGACGTCATTTAAAAATCGGTAACCTACCGGAGTATGTGATCGGTCAGTTCTGGTTATTTACCGTCTCAGTGACCGGTCGCATTTGAAAATAACGGTTATTTTTGTGATTGCCAAAAATTGTTTTCTTTGCAATATACGACCATTTTTGGTGTTCTAGGTTTGATTTCACCAGGTGTGTCCGTTCCCATTGCAGTGCCGGGGCAAACCGATATGTCATCTCACCAGTACTGGCCACGAATACAGTGACCTTGGTGGAATTAAGATAATAAAGAAATAAATGGCTGTTGTCCTTCATTAACCTTAAAAAGTCTTATTTCTTTTTTATTTTCGAATCCGTACTTTACATGTAGGTAACATTTGGAAAATCTTGAAGATACAATTTAAGCGTAAGGTTGAATGCGTCGCGAACAGGGTAAATTTTATGTAATAATAATTAAATTGTGAATTTTTTGCAGTACCAAATAGTAGTTAGGCTAAATACCAACTGTGAGAACATCATTTTTAGGCGGAAAGGACGGTTTTATGAATATAGAGTTTTATTTTCAACCTTCGAGCATGTACTACTGGTAGACTCCCAACAGTCCCAACAGTTGGGCGCCTACAAGGCGAAGAGAGAGCTGGTTTGAAAGTATATGCTGTCTCTCCCTCTCTCGCCAAATGCAAATGGCTGTGTCTGTGACGTGGATCAGTCATGAGCCAATCACGTTCGGCGAGAAAGAGAGATAGCATGTACCTTCATATAATCTATCTCTCTCTTCTCCTTGTAACGCGCTCAGTCGCCCAGCAGTATATGCTCGAAGTTTCTACAAACAGTACGTTATTTGCTTAGAAAATTCACTAGATTTGTATGTACCTTCAGGATTTTGAAAGTTATGGCGAGGTTGTATAATGTACAAAAGGTTATGTTAAAATTTAAAATGGGCGTTTGTTATTGAAATTAAATTTTAAATTTTAATGTACAAAATCTCAAATTGCCAAAAATGTGTAACTTTATATTATTCCAAAGAATTTAGTGTAAAACCCGTTTTACTGTTACTTAATTTCCCATACTGTAAATGTGATCTCCACTTATTTATTGTCGCAATTGTATTTTTTTTATGTATAGACATATCCCCGATATCAGGTTACATTCCTTTAAGATATTTTGTGCACGTGATTTTTACATTTTTATTGTGAATCATAGTTCTAGTAATTTTTAAAAGTTGTTTAATAAATATTTATTTTATCGTGTGTAAATATATTATTTCTGTGGCTCCAAATTTTCACCAATCTCGATGTCTCCAGGCAGATTTTAAACAATTTTCAGGTTTTCAGGTAAGCTCTAAATCAGTTTTGTACTGTACTGGCATTCAATGCTCGCGTAATCTCTTAAATGTGTAACCTGCCACTTTTGACTATGTGGACCTCAGGATACGGAGATCGTTTGGAATTTAATAACGAATTGTTTTCCGTTCAAATATAACTTGAACTTCTCTGTTACTGTCTTCAGATGTGGAACAACTGATCCTCTTCGCTTCGTCACCGTTGACCTACACCATCTCTCTTCGCATGCACTGTAGGTTGCCAACAATTCATGTATTTGTAATACATGAATATACAGTGGCGGCATGCACAATAATTAGTGAATTTTAAAAAACTAATTATAAGTCGACTATTTATTTGATTTAAAAAAAAAGAATTTCAGATTTGTTTTCAGGGGAACATGTACTATAACCCTATTTTTAATTTTGATGATCAACTTGTCTCCGCTTCCCCAAAATTAAAAATCAACCAGTATATCTAGGTTCCGCTTATTTGGTATTGAAGTAAAAAATAATAATTTGACTTTTTTTTCGGGAATGAATTATAATTAAAAAAGTCATGACATTCTGTGGCAACACCTAATAAACAATCAGCAGTTGCCATTCGAATTTAAGAGGGCTCTATAGCAAATAGTCAACCTGTTATACTTTTTTATAGACTTTATTACAGTTTGTCTAAATATGAATTAATGCACAAACAACGGACTTTCCCCCATTCTAACGCAGATTTTCTATAAAATGTACTTGGTTTGAAACTCAAATTCCTTTTTGTTGTAAAGAAATTTGTAAGCGGCATCGGAAATTACAAATTTCTTTACAACAAAAAGTAATTTGAGTTTCAAACCAAGTCCATTTTATAGAAAATCTGCGTTAGAATGGGGGAAAGTCCGTTGTTTGCGCATTAATTCATATTTGGTCAAACCGTGTAATAAAATCTATAAAAATGTATTGCTGGTTGCCTATAGAGCCCTCTTGAACAAAATGCATGAAATTAGAGAAATTCTCTGATTTTTACAGAAATTTCCCGATTAAAAGTTTTTCCAGTTTTCCGCATTAGTACTGGTGCGTCCTGCGTCTTAGTTATTAATTAGTTGTTGGTTAGTTTTTAATTTATAAATATAATTCGTCATAACTTTAATTGTCATACAAATAGCCCCATCTTTATTTTAAAAACTAAAACTTGCGGCAAAAAAGTATGAGGTTCGACCGAAGACCCTGTCTGCAAGTTCGAGAATGACCCAGGCGATAATTGGGTCGCCGCTCGTTTGTGCCTTTTTTTGGTTCGAGTATAACTTTTGCGTTGCATGTGCCTTTTTTTTGGTGTTTTGTGCCATTAGATGCTTTCTCCAAGTAAGGGCGTTTGATTTCACTAGCGCAATTTTTTTATTTTTTCTGATACCTAATACAGTCAACGAACGCAATAAAAACAACGAATAACACAAAACAACAATTATTTATTTTCTTTAAAATAAACTACAAAGAACACTGTCACAAAAATAATATACAGGATTGCCCATTTTAGTTGGAACTGTACATGCCAAATAAAGGAATGGCAAAATAGAATTTTTGAGAAAGATGGACGCTTAAATTTTGCCAATTTTTTTTAGTGTTTCGATTATTTGGAATTATAAAAAAAAAAAATTAATTTTTTTGCAGTTTTTACTGTTTAAAAAAAAATTGTTCACGACTTTGTTGGGGAAATCACTTGGGTTTTCATTTATTAAGCATTTTTCAAAAGGAAATACATGAATTTTGCTGTAATATTTAAATGTGCCAAAAAATCTCTTGTGGTTGGCCTATACAGAGTGTTCCTAAATAAGTGTCGCAACGGAAAACTGCAAATTCGTCTTGAAACAAGAAACATTATTTTCCTCTTCTATTTTCCTCTCCGGGCTTTCATTTTTGAGATACACGGTGTCAAAACTTAAATTTTTTTTTCTTAGTTTTTTGCCAATATCTTAGGAACCATTTGAACTACAGGAATGAGCTTACCATGATTAATAGCTACTTTTTCGCACCTTTTTCGAATTCATTGGACCAGTGCCAGTTGTGGAGATTTTAAGGTATCGCAACGTTAAATTTCGTTAAAATTGTTAATTATTACTACCTATTTTTTGAATTACAGAAGATTTTCGAAACGTTAGCAAAATGTTTGTTTTTGTTCATAAAGTAATTTTTCTTAAAAACGATTGAAATGAACCAAGAGAACTCTTTTTACATAAAATTCATTGGCGCTTCAAAATTTGCTGTCAAATGTCAATTTTTCCAGTGGTGTAAAAGTTAGGGGGGAAAAATCCTTACGATACCTTAAAATCTCCACCACTGGCGGCACATCCAATGAATTCGAGAAGGGTGCGAAAACGTAGCTATTAATAGTGGTAATGTGTGTACAAAAGTTCAGTCCTGTAGTTCAAACGGTTCCTAAGATATTGGCAAAAAAACTAAAACAAAAATTAAAGTTTTGAGACCGTGTATCTCGAAAATGAAAGCCCGGAGAGAAAAATGGAAGAGGAAAATAATGTTTCTTTTTTCAAGAGGAACCTACAGTTTTCCGTTGCGACACTTACTTAGGAACACCCTGTATATAGCCTTTGAATCACGGTTCAGCCTGTACCCTCCGATCGCAACCGAAATGGGCCACCCTGTACTGGACGGATAATAAAGTTCTATCACTTACACACTAAAGTGCAACAAATGAGATCTAATAAAAAAAAACCTAAATACATAAACTGACACTTCATTCTACGTTTAAGTACGGTTTTGTATTTTCGATTTTCATTAACCTTCTCGAGTCTACCTTTTCCGAACACATAGGACACTGCTCCTCGCTGTCTAAAACCCTATTAAAACACATTTATAATTAAGCAAATTTTGAGTATTACAAACTTACTCGATAAACTCGGTCCTCAGCGCCGGAAAATCACATTCCGGGCACGCCGTAAGGTCGGCATTCACAATATGTCGACCCTGAAAGAAAACGTATACAACGCAAGGAACAATTTCGAAAAAACAAACCTTACCGTTACTATACAGAACGGAACGTTGTTCTTACAACCGTTACAAGTAACTTCGGTCTCTGGTAACATATTTTCGCAGTAAGGACAAGGAGTGAAGGCCTCGGGAGGGTCGCCGACGACTTCGCCGTCTTTACCGTTCTTAGGAGGTTTCCTAACAACCGCCTCGATTTTCTTCGCGTACTTCGGATCCACGTTCTTCCTATAATCGGGGTTCATTAGAGTGGTGGCGTACTTGTAAGCCGCGTGTTTTAAACCCGCCCGGTGACATTCTATTACGGTCGACGTCAGAATGGGCACGATATCTGAAAAAAAATCATACTTAAGTAACGGCTTCCTCGGAAACGTCACGGTTCTTACGAGACGGAAACTTCGAGATGTTATTCGCCACTCGAATCAACATCCTTGCCCCCTTCAAGTGGTCCCCTCGTCTGACGTGCAGCCTGACGAGGATGTAGCTGTGCAGCAACATTAAATTCGTGTACATCTCGTACGGGATGTTGATGCCGTTCTGTTTCAGTTCTTGGCACATCGCGAACAGTACGTCGTGCGCGTTTCGGTAGTTCCCGTTGATTTGTTCCTCGTTCGCTATGATTATGGCGGATTTCGAGGCTTCCCTGAACTGTTTCCTGGCCATGTACAACCGGAAAAGGTACTTTGGGTCTTTCGGTAACCCGTCGGTTTCGCCTAGGAGGAATTCTATGAGGGCGTTCGATAACGAATCGTCGTTGGACGAGGCCACGACGTCTATGGCGGTGGCGATTGCCTCTTTTTCCCTCGAATTCGACTTGGCCGCTTTCAGTAGATGTTTCATCGCCTAGAATATTGTTGTTAATTTTTTACCATTATCATTCGGTCCGTTTTGGTAAAGTAATGAAAGAAAATGACAAAAAAATTAGTAAAATGAAACAGATGTAAAACGTACTGCAGATTTATTATGAACTCCCTATATTTAATATTTAAAATCAACTTTTACTGGAATATATCCGACAAATATTCAAAATCTCACCTTTTGATAGTCACGGGCGTGGAACCAGTATTTCCCAGCTAGCAAACTGTCCCGTTCACCCTCGAAATATGTGGCGATTCTACCAAAGTCCTGGGGTTTTATTTCATCTTCGGAAAAAGTGTCTAGTAATATGTCGCCGTAAAGGGGCATTTTACCATTTTTTCTTGCCAGATCAAATGCCTCGTCGCTGCACTTTGACATTACCAAAAACCTAATCGCGGACGATATATCGTTAAGCCCTTGGAAAAACCTGAAAACAAAAATATATAATATGGAGCATTCTATGCCAAATCGGACGGTTTGAAAATTTTTGATTTTTGATTTCCTCAATTTTTTTATATTTTTTAGGACCCCTCAAAAGAGCCTTTCTGGTAAATTTTGAGATTTTTTTGACTACTTGTTCAAAAGATCAAAAAACGGTATTTTTTTGGTTTTTCGTTCATAACTTTCTTAATAAAGGTCCAAATTAAAGCTTTTTTTTTTAATCATTATTTTTAGATGGCCTTTACAGAAAAAATATAAAAAAAAAAATGAGTGTTTTTGATTAAGATTTTTTCAATTTTCAAAAATAAAAAAAAAATAATTATGGACGGCCCACGACTGAATCGGTCCTAAAAGTTGTTAAAAGAATAGTAGTTTGAAATAAAACATTTTCAAAAAAATCGAAAGATACAGTCACTTTCAAAAACACGATTTAAAATTTCAAACTCAAAAATCTAAATCAAAAACACTGAATCTGTAAAGGCTATCTAAAAACAAAGATTAAAAATTTCAACAATTAAAAAATATTAAAACTAATTTAAAATAATTAAAAAAAGAGTATACAGTGACAAAAATCTGTAATTTTAAGGATTTATAGAGAAAAAAAAATTTCAAATTTTCAAAAATCAAAAAAAAAAATAGTAATTATGGAGGGCCCACGACCGGACCGGTCTTAAAAGTTGTTAAAAGAATAGTAGTTCGAAATAAAAAATTCTCAAAAAAATCCAAAGATACATTCACTTTCAAAAACATGATTTAAAATTTCAAACTCAAAAATCTAAATCAAAAACACTGAATATTTGTTTCGTATTTTTATTTGCAAAGGCCATCTAAAAACAAAGATTAAAAAAAAGCTTTAATTTGGACCATCATTAGGAAAGTTATGATCAAAAAACCTACAAAAGAGCAATTTTTTTTAATATTTTATATCTTTTGAACAAGTAACCAAAAAAGTCTCAAAATTTACCAGAAAGGCTTTTTTGAGGGGTACTAAAAAATATCAAAAAATTGAGGAAATCAAAAATCTAAATTTTTCAAACCATCGGATTTGGCGTGGAAACGCCCCATATATTTTTTTAATAACATAACAGCATAAAAAATGTGTAGAACTTACTTAGCGACCAATTTAGCCCCCTCGATGCTCCTCGTCTCTTGCACCATCTCCACGGCAATCTCCGGATTGTTTAAGTGCTCCAAGTGTAACCGTATGACGGAATCAAAATCTTTGGCCTTCTGGTACGCCCTAATGGCCTCTTCGTACTTCTTCTCCGCTTCTTTAGCCTTGGCGTACTGCAAATGGATTTTATTTGACGACACGCTCGAAAGCAACTCCCCCACTTTATTCCAATTTTTCAGCTTTATGTAATTGGAAGCGGCCCTGTCGTGCTGGTTACACTTCTCGAACAACACCGCCGCCTCCGACAGCTGCTTCTTCTTTTCTAGTATCTCGGCGCATTCTCTCAAGAGCTGCTTATTGTCGAGCTCTATCGCGATCGACATCCCGTGTCGGTAGTTGGAACAATGCAGGTTCGTCCGCGCGATGCCCGCCTTGCATACCAGAGTGTGGTCCGTGTTTAAGTTCTCCTGCAAGCCCTTTTCGTAATGTCTCAGCGCTTCCGAATAATTGCCACTGAAAGATATTTTTTTAAAGAAGAAACTGAAATTTCAAGTTTTTCGAAAATGAATTTGCAAAATCAAAATTTATTTACATGAATTCCAACTGTTGCGCGTATTCCCTGGAAATCATAGCGATTTGCTCGGGAGCCATCCTTTTGGCGAGCTGCAACGCTTGGTCCCACTGTAGAAGGTCCCGTCGCATCTCCAAAGCGGCGGCGGGGTGACTAGACTGCAAGAACCACTCCTGCGCTTTGTCGTAGTTGTTCAAGAACATCGTTATAAAACCGCACAACAACTTGTAATCCTCTACGTTTGATATATTTTCTAGGTTGTTGACCATCGCTACGTCTTCTAGTTCTTTATAAACCCTTATCGCTTAAAAAAAAATAAACCGTTACGAACGAAAAACAGAAATATAAAAAAAATTTGTTACCGATTTCAATTTCCAAACATCGTAACGCTTCCTCGGCTAATTTAAGTAAACACTTCTTGTTTTTCAAGGTACGACAGGTATCAAAGGCAGCGTTAAACCTGCATTAAAACTACAATTAATTAGTATTTACGATATTATAACCGACCGAAAATACCTGTGCAAAGCAAGTTGTTTGTTAAAGTTAGCTTCCAGTACAGCCTGATCCTTTTCGGCGAGTCCGATATGTGTGGAATCGTGCGACGTCAACATGAGTTGAGTGACTTGCCCTCCCGATGTAGCGGACATAACCTCTCCGCCGCACATTAACAGCGGAGTTTGTTTGGATACCAGCAAGGTCTGACCAACTTTTTTCACGAAAGAACCTTCAACAAACTGAATTAATTCCGACGACCTTGCGTGAATATGTAAATGCTTACCACCCGTGGACAGTCTGACGTAGACGAAAGTAAAGATTTCGTTTTTGTCGTATACGATAAAAATGTCCCGATCTGCGATGTTGCTCTCCCACGTCACACCCAAAACCTTATTCGGCAAATTTAACACGGGAATCACTTCGTTCGTAACCTAAACGTCCTCGTTTTAATACGAAATCGTAAACTAATTAATGTGATACAACTTACTGCGTTAAATACATATCCCTTTGACTTTACGTCCAGAAAAACCACTCGCGTGCCTGCCGGGTCAACAAAAATGTCCGTTATACCCACGCTGTGTTTGTATTCTACCGCTCTTGCCCACTCCTCCACATGAAAGTAGACGATATGCCCCATATCGGACCCATAAATCAGGAAATCTGTCGTTAATTCGTGACACGTTATAACGGCGGTTTCATTTTGGTTATCGGGGAACGTTATGCTTTCTTTATCTTCCTGACTTACCTCCGGTAGTTCAATCTATGACGAATACAACATTGTTCAATTTCAAAACAGATGTCATTAAACTTATGATTAAAAAATATTAATATTGCAAGAATATAGAGGTTATAATTTTTTTTTAAGCACTTTGTTCAGTTTATGAATCTCAGTGTCAGTGACCTTAACCGAGTTTGGTGATATTTGATATGACACGAAAAGAGTCTACTATAAATATATAAACAAGGGTGTTCGATAATGAAGCGCCATTTACCAGTGAAAAGACGTATTCGACGAAAAATGTTCACTTACCATATGCAACAATAATTTTCCCTCGAACAGCACGGAAGCGTATTCCGTATTGAGCCTCGCGCTTGTTACCGCACCAAGGTACTGCCGATCTTTGAGCTTCAAAGGTGCGTCGTCAGTGCCGGGCTGCGACTTGGTCAAATCGTAAAACCAAACCCTGTTGTTCATACCCGCGGCAAGGTGGTAAGGTCCAACCGCAATGAAACTCGGTTCGATCTCCAGAGAAATCGCTACCGGCTGTAATTTCATCTGAAAATGTCGGTTATTAGTGATCAGTGATCGTTATTTCAGGGAACCTACTTTGTCTGACGTGTAATTGTAAAGGCTGACTTCTGTCAAACTGGACAAGATGGCAATGCGAGGCGGGCACACGGCCGTTAAAACAGTCATATGTGACACGTAGACGTTCAAAGAACCGCCTTTGGTGCAAGCTGCCAATAACTGTCCGTCAGTGCTCCAATTTATGCGGTCTATTCCTATTTCTTGCGCCAGGGTCAAAACGCACGAGGTTTCTTGTAAATTTAACAAGTCGTGGATTTTTATACTACGGACAATAAAAATTAAACAAAACTTCCAAGTACCTGTATAAATCTCTTACGAATTATCCCCACAAGATGCCGCTTTACTTGTCACTTCACAAATAGCTATGTCCGTTAGTGAATTTTTATGGTTTCGTATTTGAAACAATTCCTGTCCAACTTCTTTGATGTGCGTAGATATAGCTATAAAGAACCCGCCACTGAAGCCTATTAAAATGTATCCGTCTCCGAACCACTTATAATTTACAATCGCACCATAGTGTTGTTGAAATGCTAATTCGATGGGATTCTCTGGATCCAATAAGTTATACAAATATAACGTTTTTCTTCCAACGATTAAACTAATCTAAAAATCAATCATTGATTACAACAATCTGTAAAAAGTCGATTTTTAGTACTTACTGTATTTTCGCCAACTCTTTCATCTGTCTTCATTTCAGAAAACTGAATCTCTAATGGTTCCGCTCGCAAACTTACTACCCTTAGTGTGTCACCATCTATATTACTTATAGATATCGTTTTGTCATCCGATCCTAATGCCAATAAGTTTTCAGTGTTCCAAGCACCACATGTTATCTTCTTTGTATGTTTCCCTATGATAGGAATTCGTCTGAAAAAATCCTACAATCAATAATAGCTTGTATGTAAAATATTACTTACTTTGAAGTATTATGATTGTAAATGGACACATTTCCTTTAGAAGATCCAATTGCTAAGACAGGGGTGTTTTTAGCCCAAATCAAGCAAGACATAAAATCCTTCAGCCCTGCATCAATTACACTTTTTTTCATTGTATTTGCATCCCACAACACTAGTTGCGAAGACTGGCAAATGACGGCCAGAACGTCTCCGTCAGAATCCCAAGAAAATCCAGTACATAAACTAAAAAGTATTTTTACAATTTAATTTTCACATACATTAAGAGTGTTACCTGGGCAATCTTATTCTTTCCTGAATTTCCCCATAACGATCGAATATATTCACCATGGAATCGATACCCGTTGTCGCTAAATACATTCCGGAACCCTTCTGCCATGCTATATAAATATCTCCAATCCCATGGGGCTGTTCCAGTCTGAATAATAACTAAAATAATAATTTTTTTAAATTACATACATTTTATATTATTTTAAAACGTTTATAGTGATCCAGCACCATTTTTTTAACTTACCTTTTCTGTACCCATGTTTGTATATTTATTCATAAAATATGGATTTCATAATTGTTTTAGTTACAATACAAACATTTTTTGTTGACATTAGAAAATTTAAAAAGTTAATTGACAGTTGACAGTGTTGACACAGTTAAATCAAAGAAGTGTAGGAAACTAGAATATTTAGATGAACCCATAGAACACAAGTTGAGGATAAAGGGTATCTAGGATGCACAATACTTGAATAGGACCCGGGGTTCCACTCCGGAGTCATATAACCTGGAATCCTGAATATGGAATTTTTTAAAATAAATATAAAATACAATACGCCATTATTCTATGGCTAGAAATTGGCCTCAATGATTTGGGATCGAGGGGGATTATCCCTCTTTATCCTGCCTCATCTCGTGTAGGCCTGGACAGCCTTCGTAGGTGGGCCCCATCCGTCGTCTACCCCGACCGCAAATGCGGCCGGTGTAGGCGCTTTGTGGGACCTCCTTTTGTCCTGGCTGGGCCCCGCCGGCTAGGGCCCTTTCTTCTGGCGCTCTTCTTGCTTCGCCGGCTCGTCTGTGTAAACCCCGGGGGTAGTGTCATGTTTATGTGTGGTATGGTTGGGTAGGGTAGTGCGGCTATGCAGCCTGGGATGCGCTTTGCTAAGGTGGCCCTTAGGCTAGCGCG